GGTTGTCTCTGCAATGGATCCGAAGCTATTTATGAATATGTTGCATGTGACATTAACTGGAGGGCCTGAAAAATAAAAAAAAAACAACAGTAAAAGTGAATACTGGGCAAAAGTTTGTAGAGGAAATAACTCTGGGCCTACTAACAGAAGTGGGGCAGGTTGGTGGCACAGTAGATAGAGTGTTGGGCCTCGAGTCAGGAAGACCTAAGTTCAAATATGGCCTCAGATAGTTACTAGCTATGTGACCCTGGACAAGTCACTTAACCCTGTTTGCCTTGGTTCCTCCTCTGTAAAATGAACTGGAGAAGGAAAGGACAAACCACTCTAGTATCTTTGCCAAGAAAACCCCAAACGAGATCACTAAGAGTTGATGACTGAACAACAACAACACAATTAGAAGAACTCGGTCAAATTGATGCTCTGTTGAGGCACTTTGAATTATGTACTCTCTTGGTCTTTCCAAAGGATGGTTTCCTTGTCTTTACACTGAAGAACAAAATACTGGTAGTTTTCTTCCAAATGCGGTAGCCGTGAAGAAATCACTTTATAAATGTATAAAGCTCTCTGTGGTTGAGAACTGACATCAGTACTTCAGAATGTTTGTTATTTCACTGATGTGGGGACTCCCTTTACTGATCTAAATCACAACTTTTGTTCACATGTTAGTGAGTTAATGAATTAATTGAGTAAACGTTTATTGATATCAATCATAATGTACCAATACACATATTTGAAATAATGAGCGTTTTCAAAAGAAATTTAATTTTTTTCAGTGAACAAATAGCTTTCTCCTCTTGCTCCCATAAAAAGAAAAGGAAAACAAAACCTTTGTAAAGAAGATGATAATCAAGCAAAACAAATTCCTATACTGTTCATGTCCAAAAATGTGTGTCTCATTCTACATCTTGATTCCATTGCCTTTCTGTCAGGATATAGATAGTATTCTTCATAAAAGGCTAACAAAGCTGTCCCTGGGAATTGATTGGTACCTGTCTCCTTTCCTGGTTACCTCAGAGCATAAAAGCTCCTCTCCCACATGGAGTTAGGAACCTTCTTACTTGGTGTATTTCTGAAGATCATGACTCATCATAACCTGCTTTGCTGACCAGACATGATTCCATGTGGGGACAGTGTGTGTGTGTGTGTGTGTGTGTGTGTGTGTGTGTGTGTGTGTGTG